AGCTCAGGGACAGTGCCGAGGCCCTGAGTTCAAGCCCTGATCCTACTGGGTGCAACCCTGCTCTCACCTTCCTACCTCCTCAGGTCCCTCCCATCCATACCGGGCCAACATGAAAGCCATCAGCTTTGGGAAGGCTGATTCAACAATGCATGCATTTGCTAAAGGCTCTCTGAAGCCCAGACTGAAGGAGGCAGGAAAAAAAAAAAAAAGATCTTAAGATTTTTCCTTGCCAGCACAGGATCACAGTTCAAAGCCAGCCTAGCCAGGAAAGTCCTTGAGACTCTTATCTCCAATTACCCACCAGAAAACCAGAAGTGGCACTGTGGCTCAAGTGGTAGAGTGCTAGCCTTGCGCTGAAGAGCTCAGGGACAGCGCCCAGGCCCAGAGTTTTTTTCTGGGTCCAGTCGTGGGGCCTGAACTCTGGGCCTGGGCGCTGTCCCTCAGCTCTTCAGCTCAAGGCTAGCGCTCTACCACTTGAGCCACAGCGCCACTTCCAGCCTTTTTTTTTTTCTGCTTATGTGGTGCTAAGGAATCGAACCCAGGGCCTCATGCATGCTCTACCACTGAGCCACCTTCCCAGCCCATGCCCCAGGAAATTTATGAGACTTTTACTTCTAACTGACCACCAAAACAGCAGGAAGTAGAGTTGTGGCTCAAGTGGTAAAGCAAAAAAGCTAAGGTATGGTACCCAAGCCCTGACTTCAAGCCCCAGTACCAGTGTGTGTGCATGCACACACACACACACACACACACACACAGAGCTCTCTCTGCCTCTCTCTTACATAGTCTTCCTAGCTCTCTCTCATTCTTTCTTTCTCATTCTCTCTCTCTCTCTCTCTCTCTCTCTCTCTCTCTCACACACACACACACACACACACACACATAAGTTATCTCCCATGACCCAGTTTTATCTTCTTCTTAGATACCAATCTGAAATGTCTTATTTACTTCACTATAGTCTTTCTACCTTACAACATTCTAGAAGGTCAAGAACCTTGCCAAGATTGGCACCAGTGGCTCAAGCCTGTAATCCTAGCTACTCAGGAGGCTGAGATCTGAGGATCGAGGTTCAAAGCCAGCCCAGGCAGGAAAGTCCACGAGATTCTTATCTCCAATAAACCACTAGTAAACCAGAAATAGCATTGTGGCTCAAGGCCCTGGGTTCGATTCCTCAGCACCACATAAGCAGAAAAAGCCAGAAGTGGCTGAGTGGCTCAAGTAGTAGAGTGCTAGCCTTGAGCTGAAGAGCTGAGGGACAGCACCCAGGCCCAGAGTTCAAGCCCCACGACTGACAAACAAACAAAAAAAGAACCTTGGAGTCAGAAGACTTGAATTTGAGCCCATATTTCCAATTAATGGTTGTATCTATGACACTGGACATATGGCTTGACCTCTCAATATTGAGAGTAATGCTCCAGCATCCTCAAGTGTAGTTTTAGGAATCAGAAGTCATGTATGTAACTCGATCTGTTTCACAGTAGGTATTCAGTAAGTGTTAACTTCCTTTCTTTATTCCCCCTTCTCTTGGGGTGAGGGGAGCAGGGTAACAGTGTCATGGTTGGAGCTTAGGCTCATTCATCCATAGTCTCAGGGTGCCTTGAGAGTCTAGAGTTTGCAGCCTCTAGACTGGCCAAAGCAGTTTCAATCTATTTCTTATCCATCAAAAGAAGGTAAAACACCAGAACAAGCAATGGCACTGAGAGAATGGAAGGGAGTTGTCCAAGGTCACATAGCCAAGCAGCCAGTCTCCTCTCAGAGGGCCAAAGGAAGCCCCAAGGCTTCCAGGATAAAGGGAGGGAACACAGGCAGCTTATGGCCTGAGCTGGCCTCCAGAAAGAGGAAATATCTGCTCTGGTTAAGGTTCTAGGCACAGGTGTGTCAGAGGCAGACTTTGGAATGTAGTTTGCTGTTTCTTTCTTTCTTTCTTTTTTATTTTTGCCAGTCTTGGGGTTTGAACTCTAGGCCTGGGCGCTGTCCCTCAGCTCTTCAATTCAAGGCAAGAGCTCTACCACTTGAGCCACAGCGCCATTTCCAGTTTTCTGATGGTTAATTGGAGATAAGAGTCTCATGGACATTCCTACCCAGGTTGGCTTTGAACCAGGATCCTCAAATCTCAGCCTCCTGAGTAACTAGGATTATAGGTGTGAGCTACCAATGCCCAGCCTGCTGTTTCTTTTTGTTCGTTTGTTTTTTAATCTGTCAATTCTCGGGCTTGAGCTCAGGGCCTGAGTATTATCCTTGAGCTTTGTTTTGCTCAAGGCTAGCACTCTACCACTTGAGCCACAGTGCCATTTCTGGCTTTTTCTGTTTATGTGGTACTGAGGAATTGAACCCAGGGTTTCAGGCATGCTAGGCAAGCACTCTACCACTAAACCACATTCCCAAACCCTAGTTTGCTGTTTCTAGATCTAGATTTCTCCTTCACTGGTCATATTACCCCAGCTTGCCTTACCTAAGAATGGGAGAAGATTGCACAAATTATAGTTAATTTAACATATAATTAGAAGAAGGATCTTTGAGAAAAATATTGTAGTGATAGATCAAATAGACTTAATTTCTGGACTTTTGTCACAGTGTATATATGTAAAGTCAGACATGGGTGGGGAGAAACCACGCACTGGTGGCTCACAAGTGGCATCCTAGATATCTGGGTGGCTGAGATCTGAGGACCAAGGTTTAAACTAGCCTGAGCCAGACAAAATGAGATGCTCTTATCTCCAATTTCTACCAAAAAACTGGATGTGGAAGTGTGGCTCAAGCAAAAAAAGTGCTATAGGCTGGAGCAAAGAAGCAAAGCAAAAAGCCCCGAGTACCGGCAGTTCAAGCCTGAAATCCTAGCTACTCAGGTGAGGTCTGAGGATCAGTTCAAAGCTAAAGGAGGCAGGAAAGTCAATGTGACTCTTTTTTTTTTTTTTTTCTTGGGTCCGGTCGTGGGGCCTGAACTCTGGGCCTGGGCGCTGTCCCTCAGCTCTTCAGCTCAAGGCTAGCGCTCTACCACTTGAGCCACAGCGCCACTTCCAGCTTTTTTCTTTTTGCTTATGTGGTGCTGGGGAATCGAACCCAGGGTCTCAGGCAGGCAAGGCAAGCGCTCTACCACTGAGCCACCTTCCCAGCCCCTCCATGTGACTCTTATATCCAATTAACCACCAGAAAGCCGGAAATGGCACTGTGGCTCAAGCGATAGAGCACTCTCCTTAAACTGAAGAGCTGAGGAACAGCACCCAGACCCAGAATTCAAGCCCCAAGACAAAAAAAAAGAAAAAAAAAGCAGAAGGCTCTAGGGGCTGGGAAAGTGGCTCAGTGGTAGAGCGCTTGCCTTGTATGCATGAGGCCCTGGGTTCGATTCCTCAGCACCACATAAGGAAAAAGAAAAAAAAGCCGGGGGCTAGTGATGGTAATTTGTTGAAATCTGGGATTAGAGCATTTCTTATTGATTGCCTTCTAGTGAAATATAGGTGTTTGGTTTTGTTTTGTTTTGTTGTTTTTTGGTCATGAAGGGGAAACATAAATCTGAGTGGAAATTATAAATTTACATTTATCTCATATGACTTCTGTCACAAAAATCATGATAGTAAATCACTTTGCTATTTTAATACTGTTTTGTTAAATTAAAAAAACTTCATGTTCTTATTATATTAGTAATGTTAGTTTAATATTAGGTTGTTATGACTTGTTTATCCCTTTATAGTATTTATTTCTTATCTTTGTTAACTTGTGTCTCTTGTTCATATACAATAAACCAATTTTCTGGAAAAAAAAAAAAAGCCGGGGGCTGGGAAGGTGGCTCAGTGGTAGAGCGCTTGCCTTGCATGCATGAGGCCCTGGGTTCGATTCCTCAGCACCACATAAGCAAAAAGAAAAAAGCCAGAAGTGGCACTGTGGCTCAAGTGGTAGAGTGCTAGCCTTGAGCTGAAGAGCTGAGGGACAGCGCCCAGGCCCAGAGTTCAGGGCCCACGACCGGACCAAAAAAAAAAAAAGAAAAAAAGCCGGAATTGGCGCTGTGGCTCAAGTGGTAGAGTGCTAGCCTTCAGCTGAAGAGTTGAGGGGCAGCACCAGGCCCAGAGTTCAGGCCCCACGACCGTACCAAAAAAAAAAAAAAAAAAAAAAAAACAGAAGGACCTGAGTTCAAGCCTCAGTACTGCCACACTAAATCTCCTCATCCCATCCTCTATGCTTGTAAAGTGGGAGAGAAAAACTTATTATCCCTCCTTCAGCCCCACACAGTCCCTGTACAGGACCCAGGCACAGACACAATGGAATGAGAAGACTCCACAGAGAGATCCACCTCTGATTCTGGACCAGAACTAACACTATACTAGAACTGTGTGGTGTCAGAGGATCAACATTCCCTGAGCATAGTTCACCTCACCTAGACTAGCTCAGGAACGTCAGTCGGGCTCTTGGTTTGCAGCCGCCAAATAAGAGAAAACACACAAGACATGCACACATTCTGCGTTACCTTTTCTTAGATCTGGAAAATTGCCAGAAAGCAGTGTGGAGAGTTGAGCAAGTGGAGCAATCTCTTTGGGCGCCTGAAGAAAGTGGATGACCAGAATCGATAGGTGATTTTTTTTTTTTTAATTGCTCCCAGTACAAGAAAAAGGAAAAAAGAAAAAAAAAACGAGATTTCTCAGTGGTGCAACTCGGCTACAAACTCCACCGACCACTTCCTTCCCTCCTACCTGGGGCTGGGGGAGAGCGACACAGTCCCTTTAAGTCCAGGGGGGCCCAGGCCAATCATGCTTAGTAGTTCTTTAAAGACCAAAGGAGGGAATTCTGCCGGAGGAGGGCGGGGCAGAGGTGTGCCTTTCAGCCAATCAGAAATCCCCTCAGAAAACAGTCACTCACGTGCAGAGCTCTGCTGACCAATGACAGGATCGTAGAGAGGGGGGCGGGTCCTAATGTGTGTGACAGCTGCGCCGACCAATGGGCATGTCGCCCGCGGCCTATAAGAGTCCGCTGAGTGCGGCGTGCCAGGCTTTCTGGGTCGGTAAGTCGTCGCCGTCGGAGGTGTGCGCCCCGGGCTTGCCTCGCCGTCGCTGCCCGCCCCATTCCTGCATCCCCCGCCCTCCGCCTTGGCCCGGGGCCCAGCCGCTCTCCCTGCTCTCCTCCCTTATACCACCCCCGGGTTTCTGCCGTCGAGGCCCCGGGGCCAGGCGAACGATGCCGTCGGAGAGCGGAGCTGAGTGCCCGGACCAGGCGGCAGCGCAGGTGGGGGCGGCTGCAGCCTCGGCGGTGGCCGCGGTGGCCACGGCTGCCGCGGCAGGCGGCGGCCCCGACCCGGGGACCTCCTTGGCCTCCCTGGGACGGCACCTGAGCGGGCTGAGCTGGCCGCAGGTGAAGCGGCTGGACGCGCTGCTGAGCGAGCCCATTCCCATTCACGGGCGCGGCAACTTCCCCACGCTGAGCGTGCAGCCCCGGCAGATCGTGCAGGTGAGCCCGCGGCGGGTGGGGGTCCGCGCCGAGGCCCGGAAGGGCCGGGGAAACGGAGGCGCCGCCACAGGGGCTGTAACGATTGCACCACGTAGGAATGCTACTCCAGATCCCTTCCTCCTGCGCCTGGTACACCTTCCCCGCGTGGCTCCGAGTGCTCTGCCCCTGAAGAGCGCTGATACCCTGGAGCCACCCGGCGAGGCCGGGATGGGAGAAGGATGGGGAGTGGGGAAGGTCTCGCTCACCTGCAAGCAAGGACGAAGGGTACCGGGAGCCTCTGGTTGTGTGCGTGTGTGTGTGTGCGTGTGCGTGTGTGTGATGAGCGTGTATGCGCGAGCACGCTTCGATCCAAAATAGCTTTTCCTTCTCCACCCAGCATCCCTTAACTTCTTCTCTCCGGACTCTTGGGAACCTTGGCTAGTCCCCTGACTAAGTAGAAAAAGCCCAGAAACCCCAGCAGAGACTCCCTCTATCTCACTGGAGTTCTGGCAGATTAAATTATGGACAGGTTAAACCTGAGACCTGACTCCAGAAAGCAACCTTGGAAATGAAAGCCACCAAGGGTCTCAAACCCCAAGCCCCATCTCTCTTCTGAGGAATAGGAGAGAATTTTGGAAGCCCCTCCCTTCTTCAAATTCCAAGTTCTTCCATGACCACCAAGTGCTTTTTCTATAGCCCAGATGCTGTTATTTATGTTCCGAAATACCAAAGAATGGTAATTATTGTGTGTATATTAAAGCTGAGGAAGCTGAGGTCTCAGGAGAGGCAGGGAGAGACCTAGGATTACCCAATGGAAATCTTCAGCCTTCCAGGAACCAGGTGGTTACAGGGTAAGAGTTTCCCCACTCCTTCCCTGGCTTCAGAGTCTCGGCTTTAAGGAAGTTAAAGGAAGTCTCCCCATAGAAGAAACCAGAAAATCTAGTGACTAGGTCCTGTATGTTCCTGAGAGAGACATTGCATACACATTGAGTGAGGCAGGCCAGTCCCTTACCTCCTGCCATGCCATCTTAGCTTCCAAGGAAGGAGGAGGAAGAGGCTGCTTTGGGAGGAGGTGGGGGGATTGCCTGGCCCTCCTCCCTCCCCAGGAACTAGGAAGGAGCTGTGGGGGGGGGGGGGTAACATTCTCCAAGGCTGACTCACTCAGTAGGGCTAGCCTAGGCATTCCTTCTTGCTTGCTGTCATCTGTGTGATTTGTAAACGAGCTGAGGCTTTTCTTGCTTTGTTCTTGTTTGTTTTTGCTTTGTTCTTTTTTGTGTTTTCTGTGTTGTATTGTTTTTTTGAGATGGAGTCTTTGTGGGCTGGTTTTGAGCTCATTAGTTCAAGTGATCAGTCTTCTAAGTAGTTGTGTGGGTGTGGTCACCATGCTGGCTTTTTCTGCCCCTCCCCCCCATGTTGGGACAACTCTAGGGTCTCCAGTACTGTGGCCCTAGGCACTAGGGGAGGGAAAAATGGTACCACGTGGCAGTTCCCTTCTGTGGGAACAAGTTTGATCCAAAACCACCTTTATTGGTGGCTGTTCTGTGCCCAGCCCTGTGCAGGACAGTAGGAATACAGGTGGGACTACCAGTCAGCTCATTACCTTCAGGTGCTCCCAGCCAGGTGGGAGAATCTAAGTCAGAAGAAGTTGAGTTCACTGTGTGGTAGTAGTATAATATTCCCTCACACAAGGGTCAGAGACAGGGCGCCACTGAGGGAGGAAGGCAGAGATTTCAGAGCAGGATTGAGCACTTCTTAGACACCTGGATTCATGGCCTCAATTGTTGTTGTCCCCATCTGTCCTATGGGAATGGATCAGACCGCTCATCAATACCCTTTGCAGTTCCAGAATTCAAAAGAAACAGGTGCTTCTTCACCTGGCTTGTACAGCCACTTCCAGAAGGAAGAAAGTCTGTCTCCTTGGCAGTAATTCACAGCTATCAGCTTCAAAAGTAGTTAGAATACCTGGGGAATGGGGGAGGGAGGAGTTGGTTAAGGCTTTTACCTGTGCTAATTTGATTCAAAAATTGGAACCTTTATAATAAGGCTTTGCCTACAATAGCAATCCAAGCACCTAGAAATACTGCCCTTCAGACGCTGGTGGCTCACGCCTATCCTAGCTACTCAGGAGGCTGAGATCTGAGGATCATGGTTCAAAGCCAGCCCCAGCAGATAAGTCCGTGAGACTCTTATCTCCAATCAACCACTAGAAAACCGGAAGTGGCACTGTGGCTCAAGTGGTAGAGCACTTGCCTTGAGCTGAAGAGCTAAGGGATCAGGCCCAGAGTTCCCATAACTCTCTCTCTCTCTCTCTCACACACACACACACACACACACACACACACACACACACACACACACACACACACACAAAATACTGCCCTTGCATATACTTGGCTAAAAGGTTCTGTCTTGTAGAGTCCCTGTGTCCACAACTCCAGAAAACCTGGTTCTAGTAAGCTGAGCCACTTATTAGTTGTGTGACCTTGGACAAGTCCTTGTCTGGGCTCAGAGAATTGAACCAGACTATCTTATCTCTCCTGCTGTAGCCAGAGAGCCTATCAAAGGCAGCTCTGTTGCAGTTTTGCAAGCCTTCCTGTAATCTCAGCAGCAGACTAGAGCAGAGGGGCTCTAGGGAGGCTCTTGGCACAGGGGAAAGCAGGGTACAGTCACTGCCCGCCCCCCCACCCTACCCTGTGGCTGATTCAGAAGGCTCCCAGCTGCCTTGCAGTGTTTGGGTGTGTCAGTATCTGGGGACTGCCTGTCAAACTGGCTGTAGTCACACCTGGGAAAGAGACAATAGCCGCTGGCTCGCTGACACAGCTGGCCCCGTGGCCCTGACGCAGGAGATTTAACGAGGGTACTGCTTCCTACTCACCACGCCAGCTGCCATGCCCTGGGGTGGGCACCAGCTCAGGAGGAGGCCTTGGCACTGAGGAAAGCCCCGTCAGCTCTATTGGGACGAAGGGAGGGGGCTGTCTGCTCTGCAGGTCTAGCAGGGTCCTTGAACCAAGGGCTTTGGTCTACTTCTCTCATTGGCTACATGAACACAGTTGCCGGGCTGAACACTAGCAAGTCCCCCTAGCTGGACTGCAGCCCCTCACCCTTTTGGGCCAGGGATTTCCCCAGCCCCCACTTTCTTTCCTCTTGTTCTTGCTTGGGGCCTTGGTGATTTCAGGGTCACTCTCACTTTGAAATTTTGAAAGGGAAGGAGGATTAGGACACTAATTTCCAGTCTGTTCCTTTTGAACCCCGGAACTGAACGTCATAGAGGCTAGGCTGGGCTGGGGTGCAGCTTCGTAGGACAGAACATTCTTAGCATATAAGAACGCCTGGGTTCCTTCCCCAGTATTGCAAACAACAAAGGGGACAGGCTACCTCTTTCTTTTCTGTTTTTGAAAGACACTTAAGATGACACCTCTGTGTCATCTTTAAGCAGGTGACTTCACTTGGTAAGCCAAGTGAACATGGCAATTTAGAACAAAAAGATGAATCCAGAGCCTTGTGGGTGCTGCACACACCCTGTACCACTGAGCTACACACAGCCCCAACGATTCTGGTGAGGTCCAGTGCTTGGCATTCACGCCTTACCTAACCTCCCATGCACCTCTCCTCCATTCAAATGTTCCTGGTGGCTAGTTGCTTCCCCTCCACCCCGTTGCCATGGCAACCCCTCCCGGAAGTCTTCCTGGAGGGAGTGGCCCGCCTCAGATTGCCCCACTGCGCTTGCCTCCTCAGCACTTAGGTGCATTCTTTGCCGTAATTCCCTGGGAGGCAGAACAACCCACCCCAGAGCTGGGCGCTGACTTGGCAGCCAGGCGGGGTTGCAGAGTCACCAAGGGCAGGAATGCTGCCTGGTCACTTTCAGGACCGTGTGTGAAGCACTTGAGGTTTCTGAGAATGTCCATGTCTGACACCCCAGCTTCACTCTTCAACCCACTTGGTATTATGGTCTAGGGAGAGACCTAGAGCTGACGGAAGGCGTTCACATTTACCTGTGCTGGTCTTGTGCCACCTGCCCTTGGGGAGGGCTCAGCTGGGATTCTTCATCTCTTCCCACTTGGATAACTTTCTGAGTTCTTTTTTTTTTTTTTTTTTTTTTTTGGTCGATTGTGGGGCCTGAACTCTGGGCCTGGGTGCTGTCCCTCAGCTCAAGGCTAGCGCTCTACCACTTGAGCCACAGCACCACTTCTGGCTTTTTCTGTGTATGTGGTGCTGAGGAATGGAACACAGGGCCTCATGTATGCAAGGCAAGCACTCTACCACTGAGCCACCTTCCTAGCCCCCTTCCTGTGTTCTTTACCCTTCCTTTCTCTTAAAAGTATTCAAAGTCTGGCTTTAACTCCCAGCCTGGATATTTCTGAATGACTTTTCCTTGGAGCCATAGTTGTGTTGATCACTGTAAACTTGTTTTCCTCATCTTCAAAATGTAGGTAGTATTAGCTTTGTTGAGTCCTCTTAAAAATAAAATAAGAATGTGTATGGACTTGAGAATCAAATCAGGCTGGGTTCTAAGATCAGCCTGGCTATGGTGACCTTGTTCATGTTTCTTAACTGCTCTGTGCTTCCACTCAGGTCTCCTGTCTGTTAGTGGAATAGTAATAGTCCGGACAAGTTTGTCATGATTAATGCACCAATGCCTGCAACTGCTAACTTTTTTGTTGAATTTCTACCTGCCCACAGCTAACATCATGCCTAGCACAGCGCTAAGCATTTTGCTTGCTATTTTAGGGAGACAAAATAGCACAGTGGTTAAGACCTAGACTATCTCAGTTTTCAGCTGTATGGCTCAGCAATTACCAGTCCCTCTGTATTTCTATTCCCTGATCTATGAAGTACAAGAAATAGCACTCATCTCTTCTGGGTATTGTGAGGGTTAAATAAGTTTAGATTTCAATGTATAAAATGTTTTGATCAGAGCTCAGTGCTCATTAAATCCTATACTGTGAGTCATTCCTTCAAATAGATCATTCGCCAGACTGGCAAATTGAAGTTTAGTAAGTTAAATGATTTCTCAGACATAAGAGCAGCTGGGAACCAGTGGCTCAGCCCTGTAATCCTAGCAACTCAGGAGGCTGAGATCTGACTGTCGTGATTCAAAGCCAACCCGGGCAGGAAAATCTGTGAGATTCTTATCTACAGTTAATCACCAAAAGGCTAGAAGTGGAGCTGTGGCTTAAGTAACAGAGTGCCAATGAATTAAAAAGCTCAGGGACAGTGGACAGGCCAAGTTCAAGTCCTAGTTCCCATCAAAAAGAAAAAAGAAGAGGGAGGGAGAGAGAGAGAGAGAGAGAATGGTCACCAGCGCTTGATGTTACTGTGATGATTTTCTGGAAGTCCTAGTGCAGACTTGAGGGGACCAGCCTCCTGACACCCCTCTGTCCCCACAGGTGGTCCGAAACAGCTTGGAAGAACAGGGACTACACGTGCACAGCGTGCGACTGCACGGCTCAGCTGCCAGCCACGTGCTGCATCCTGAGAGTGGCCTGGGCTACAAGGACCTGGACCTGGTGTTCCGGGTAGACCTGCACAGCGAGGCATCCTTCCAGCTGACCAAGGCGGTGGTGCTGGCCTGCCTGCTGGACTTCCTGCCAGCCGGAGTGAGCAGGGCCAAGATCACGCCACTGACACTCAAGGAGGCATACGTGCAGAAGTTGGTGAAAGTGTGCACGGACACCGACCGCTGGAGCCTCATCTCACTGTCTAACAAGAGTGGCAAGAACGTGGAGCTCAAGTTTGTGGACTCCGTGAGGCGCCAGTTCGAGTTCAGTATAGACTCCTTTCAGATCATCCTCGACTCCCTGCTGCTCTTTGGCCAGTGCTCATCCACACCCATGTCTGAGGCCTTCCACCCCACCGTGATGGGGGAGAGCCTGTACGGGGACTTCGCCGAGGCCCTAGAACACCTGCAGCACCGGGTCATTGCCACGCGCAGCCCCGAGGAGATCCGAGGTGGGGGCCTGCTCAAATACTGCCACCTCCTCGTGCGGGGCTTCCGGCCGCGGCCCAGCACTGACACGCGAGCCTTGCAGCGGTACATGTGCTCCCGCTTCTTCATCGACTTTCCCGACCTGGTGGAACAGCAGCGCACGCTGGAGCGCTATCTAGAGGCCCACTTCGGCGGGGCTGATGCCGCCCGCCGGTATGCCTGTCTGGTGACGCTGCACCAGGTAGTCAACGAGAGCACCGTGTGCCTCATGAGCCATGAGCGCCGCCAGACGCTGGACCTCATTGCCACACTGGCACTCCAGGCGCTGGCTGAGCAGGGCCCTGCTGCCGCGGCTGCCCTGGCCTGGCGCCCTCCGGGCCCTGATGGGGCTGTACCGGCCACTGTCAATTACTATGTGACCCCCGTGCAGCCTCTGCTGGCTGGGGCCCACTCCTCCTATCCCACCTGGCTGCCTTGCAACTGACTGGACTCTGGCCAGAAGGGGCAGGGGGTTCTGGGGTGGGGTGGGGACACTAGGAGCATGTGGAGGTTATGAACAGAGATGGGCTACCTGTGCTGGCTCACCCAGCACTGCTGCAAGGTTGGGCCTCCAACTGAGCAGAATAGACTTCCCTGAGGCCTCTGTGGGCTGAAGGCCAAGCTGGGGCTCTTGGTAGGGGTACCCTTTGGCCATTGCACCCTATTATTATTTTTTTTTTTTAGAATGTCATGATTGTGGCGTGCAGGAACTACTTGTCCTGAGAGTCAGTTGCCTCCAGGAGACAAAGCAAATTTGACTGATGGCCTCCATGCTCAGAACCTTGGGTTGATTTCCATGGCCTAGAAAGGGTCCTTTGGACTAGGGCCAGCCCACACACTGGCTAAATACAGTATGTAACTAGCCAGGGTGGGCCGCAGCCCACGCCTCTCCCCGTGTAACACACCCCCTCCCTTGTGTTGTGAGAATCCTTGCGGTCTGGGAGCAGGGTGCTGAGCTCAAATGTGTCACAACTGAGTTGAGCAGTCCCTGCCCCACTGGCTTGGTTATAGGACCATCACATTGTCACATGGGGAGGGAGCCCCCCCCCTTTTCTATTCCTCTGGATTTGTTGCTATTTTGCACTCTTAACCACCCACCAATAAAGATTGTCTACACTGCGCCTGGTCGCATGCTTTCTCCAAGGACAACCTCAAGGCAGTGGAGACAGCTGCTCCTCCCCGTCTGAGTCTGGCTGGCCTTGTTGGAGCTGACAATGGGGGTGGGACTAGAGGTGTGGGTCCTCTCCTTCCCTCACTCCTGACCAGTCTGACTACTAGACTAATCTGTTTCTACATGTGTGATCTTCATGTTGCCTCAGCAAATCTAGGACTCTAGGAAAGGTGGCTGAGCAACAAGTACCTCATGCCTGTCATAATCCTAGCTACTTAGAAGGCTGAGATCTGAGGGTTGTGGTTTGAAAGCAAGAAGTGGAGCTGAGGCTCACATGGTAGAGTACCATCCTTGAGCAAAAAGAGCCTGGGGACATTGCCCAGGCCCAAAGTTCAAGTCCCAAGACCAAAAGGAAAACAAAAAAGGAAAAGTGTCTACCTCAGGTCCTCTTAGCCATGCACATGGCCTCCAGTGCCCAGGTCCATTTTGCTCGAACACTGCCCACTTCATGTCTCCCCACAAGCTGGGTAAGTCTGAACAGGAAGCCTTCCCTCCAGTTAATAGCATCTGAGACTAGGCAATTTCTGGGATTCGCTCCAATGCCAGAGTCCACCCCCTATTCTCTGCTTCACTATCAAGTCCTCCGGAAAAGCATGGTCTCTTCAAACCAAGTTCGGACCATGCCAGGTTATCTGGGAGTGCCAGCTGCAGGTTCCCTCAAGAATTAAGGCATTCACTCCTGGACGCTGTCCACTGTTTGCCATGCCCCTTTGATGTAGGGATTGTAAAGCCTTAACCGGATTGAGCCCCATTAAGGGCTTGTAAAGTGGTAACTTTGATGGTTCCAACCAGGGTAGAGGAAACAAGGCCTCAGAGGAGAACTCAGGTCACAGGGTGAGTCCAGCTACACACCTGCTCCATCAGCGACCCAGTCCCTAGGAATGCTGCTCTCTAAATGGTTGGGAGGGCCACTTGAAAAGGTTTGATGACAGAAAACAGTCTCTTCCCCCGCCCCCCCAGCTGTGGCCCCCCAGCCAGGGTCCTGGGAGGGACAAAATTTGTCCATCTGAACATGAACATGGGCCTGAGGGGAAAACACATACATACTAGGCTCAGCTTATTGGGGTGGGGGTGAGGTGGCATGCTTGTTTGTGGGAGGAGGGAACCAAGGTAGGCATAAGTACACTCCCCATGCAGCCCACCATCTGCCAGTTACTGTTTTAGGTGTTAGGAATACAAACCAAAGGCAGTCATCGCTGCCTTAGTACCGATTGCATTCTATTGGGATAGACAAAACAGTGCAGCCTTAAAAGATCACGATGGGGCTGAGAAGGTGGCTCAGTGGTAGAGCGCTTGCCTTGCATGCATTAAGCCCTGGGTTCTATTCCTCAGTACCACCCAAGCAAAAAAAAAAAAGCCAGAAATGGCACTGTGGCTCAGTGGTAGAGCCCTAAAGCTGAGGGATAGCACCCAGGCCAGAGTTCAGGCCCCACAGCCGACAAAAAAAGGGGGGGAGGGGAAACAGGAGGAGGCAACAATGCAAGAGGCACTGAGCACTGGGGCTCAAGTGGTAGAGTACTGGCCTTGAGCTGAAGAGCTGAGGGACAGTGCCCAGCCCCACAACTGACACATACACATACACAAACACACACACACTAAGGGCATGGAAATGCAGGGTTGGCCATGTTAAAACAGATGCAGCCAGGTACTGGTGGCTCATGCCTGTAATCTTAGCTACTCAGGAGGCTGAGATCTGAGGATTATGGTTCAAAGCCAGCCCAAGGCAGGAAATTTGTGAGTCTTACCTCTAATTAACCACTGAAAGCCAGAAGTGGAGCTGAGGCTCAAGAGGTAGAGCACTAAGCTTGAAAAAAGCCAGGATCAGTTTTAAAAAAAAAAAAAAATCACCTTGATTGAGCAAAGACAATGGGAAGCGAGCCATGTCTGGGGAAAGGGTTCTGTGGCAAGGGAACCTGTCTGTGAATGCGTGTGCCCTGACAGGTGAGTCTGAAAAAAGGCATGTGTGCCTGAGGGTGTCTGTCTGGTGGGTATACACTATCACCTGTGCAGTACACACACAGGCATGGGAGTGGGGGAAGGGGGGAGTCACAGGTACCGCCTGACAGGCTTTCTGCCAGATGAGGCTCTATGCCCAATGCTACCGTATTGTCATCCCTCCATTTACTCTTGCAACAACTCCACAACCAAGGAGCGAGTGCTATTTCTGCTTTTCAGAAGACAAAACAGGTTTGTCTGCTAGAAGATGGTGCTATTTCCTAGACACCTTCCCCCACGCTCATTTCCTGTAGACCATTGTGACAGTATATCTTATGTATGTGGTAGGAATTTATTTTCTATAGAAGTGGCAGCATATAGTAGTGTGCCAAGATATATGGTTTATCTGCACGTGTTCTGTTGTGACAGGTTTTTACGAAGTAGCACAGCCTGGCCTAGAACTCTCAATCCTCCGCCTCTGCCTCCTAAGTGCTGGGATTACAAGGGTATGTTACCACACCCAGCTGGATAGATCTTTTCTTAATGTACACATGGCACTAGTCATGGCTTGAGGTGACTGTCAGGGCCTGTGGTGGCAACTGCATGCTTGTGGGTGTGGCTGTTTCCCTGTGTGAGAAAAGCACCAACTCAGTGGCTGACATTGTTCTTGGACAGCCTCTGTACCCACCTAAGGCATCAGGACAGGCAGCAATCAGTGAGGGGACAGCTGAGGAAGGAAAGCCCAATCCTCCACCTTCAGCCCTCTGAACTCCCTGCACACACTCATTTCCACATCCAGGGCCAGGTGGGGAAGACAGTGGGGCTATGGATTGGGAAAAGTCCTCTCCTGGGCCAATACACACTGTGCCAGCCCCTCCAGGTTCATTCTTGTCCCTGCCCAGGGGAGGTTGCCAACTGTGGTTGTTGTCAGTAGCTCCCTCATTCCCAGGCTTGCTGCTGTTTGACAATGGGAGGCCCCTGCAGGAGACTAAAGGCAAGGTGCTTCTCTTCCCTGTTCCCTCTTCTCCCTGGTCAATCTGGTGGCCCCTATCCCCTAGCAGTGGTCCTCACACAGCTAACTCCCCACCCTATCAGAGCCAGGCGCTATAAAGGCATCCGACCTGGGGGAGCTTGGGAGCTATTCACCATCCTTGGTTAGTTCAACTCCATTCTGTGGTAGGGGCTGAACTCAGGACCTCAGGCATGCTAAGCAAGCTCTATACCACTGGACCACACCTCTCAGCTCCTTTTTTTTTTTTTGCCAGTCCTGGGGCTTGACCTCAGGGCCTGGGCACTGTCCCTGAGCTGCTTTTTTTGCTCAAGACTAGCACTCTACCACTTGGGCCAGCACTACTTCTGGTCTTTTGTGTTTATGTGGTACTGAGGAATGGAACCTAGGGCTTCATGCATGCTAGCTAGGCAAGCACTCTACCACTAAGTCACATTCCCAGACCTCCTTTCTTACTTTCTTAAATGAGTAATCCTAACACTAGAGGCAGAGGCAGAAAGATCATGAGTTGGAGGCCAACCTGGCCTAAACTGTGAGTCTTTTTTTTTTTTTTTTGGTCTGTTGCAGGGCTTAAACTCCGGACCTGAGCTTTGTCCCTCAGCTCTTCAGCTCAAGGTTAGTGCTCTACCACTTGAGCCATACCACTGCTGGTTTTCTAGTGGTTAATTGGAGATAAGAGTCTCATGGACTTTCCTGCCCAGGATGGCTTTGAACCAGGATCCCCAGATCTCAGCCTCCTGAGTAGCAAGGATTACAGGCGTGAGCCACTGACACCCGGCTGAAACTTTGTCTTATAACAACTCTTCCTAGCTCGTGTGCCCTTTCTTCTTCCAGAAGCCTGACAGGTGTCTTGCTGCCACAGACACTCAAACCTGGTGCCATGCAGTCTCCCACACGAGTTCCCATCCCCTAGCTTGCTCATCACACCCTTTGCTGGGGAAACTCCTGGCGAGGTCAACTGTGAGGAAGTCACAGGAGAAACAGGCCAGAGGCTCCGATTGCCAAACCAGACAGATTGGGCCCCAGGAACTGACAGCTGAAAGATCTGTCACACACAAAGGAAAGGAGGCCAGGGCACTGGCAAACCACACACCAAAGACTCACATTACTGAGATTTATTCTTCCTGAATATATAATCGTGGGACGTGTTTAATATACATTCACTTTGTAGAATTCTATGGGTTCCGGGTTATGTGTAGCTAGTGTCACTAGTGCCATGTGTACAATATTTGAATAAATGTGCTCCCCTTTTGCATTTAAAACTTTGGAAATTTTATGTGGCTGCCACCTCTTCTTGAGAAAGAGGTGTTACCTCCTCGGGGAGGCCGCAGCTGATTGTCTGTGCAGGGCCACAGCACACCTCCACCCAGAGAGAACAGGGCAGTGGGTGAGGGAAATGGAGGCTTTCCTTTGACCAGTGTTTTCTGCCAAACAGGCCTCCTAGTGCTGTTAGACCAGGAAGCAATGAGATCTACCAAAATGGGGACTCCAGCTATGCCGAGACTTGTTTAAGAATAGTGACTCTCCTTAAAAGAAATCCTTGGCATTGCCACTGGAGCTATCGCTGCATTTTCCAATAACCTGTGCTAACTTCTCCATTGGTGCAGAGTAAGCAAAGCCCAAAGCGGAGTACGCAGAGAAATTTAGAGTATGGGTAAGATTCGCAGAACCCAATCCTGGGAAAGTGAGGGCTCCTGAGAGGGGGCTGCTGAGGGCCAGTTCTGGAAGTTTCACTGATGGAGGTATCCAGGGAAGAAGCAGAATCCAGAGGTCCAGATCCAAAATGAAGGCTGGAAGGAGCTGGAAAGAATAATTCCAAGAGCATTGATTTCCTGTTTCCATATCCACCCAGCTCCACCCATACCATCATCACGTGACTCCCTGAGAGGGGCTGTGTGGGGAGGCTGCACAGGAGGCAAAAGTGCAGAATGGGGCTCCCAGGGGAAAGCCGAGGTTCCCTTGGGCCTTTGTTCTTGGCTGGGATCCCCACTGGTCTGAGCAGCTGGAATGGAATGTTCCTGGGATGAAAAACCTGCCCTTCCTCCACCTCTCCCCTTATGGAGTTTCCCAGGGCTGGGGTGGAGAGAGACCATGCCAGGGAGTCCTGATATGGTGATATTTTAAAGAAGCCAAGGCCCACACTGCCCCACAGTGGAGACACTGTCCTGACAGTCTCTCCTCACCTAGACACATTGGTTCTATCATCCCCAGATCTCCACTCTGGAGACAAGACCCAGGCACACTGAAGAAACTGACTCAGAAAGGGGGAAGGTTCCAGCTGGGAAGATCCAGGCCAGCACTGATTCTGACACCCTCTTCTGTTATCCCAGGCTCTTTGTGCTCACGCTCTCTGCTCTCTCCCCTCTCTCTTTCTCCCTCCCTTCCCCCCACCCCCTTTCTTCTTGGGACTTGAACTCAAGTGGCCTAGGTTCTGTTCCTGAGCTTCTCTGTGCTCAAGGCTCTACTACTTGAGCCACAGGGCCACTTCTGGCTTTTTCTGAACAGTTTAGGGAGAGAAGAGTCTCGCAGACTTTCCTGTCTAGGCTGGCTTTGAGCTGTGATCCTCAGATCTCAGCATCCTTGAATAACTAGGATTACAGGCATGAGCCATGGGTGCCCAGCTTCTTTGCTCTCTTAAGCACCAAATATTCTTGGTCCACAGGGAGAGGAGGCAGAGGCAAGCCCTGCCCTGCCTCTCTAGAAATCTGATATCAATGACCCATCTTTGTCACCGTCTGGGTGGACTCAGCCTAGGGGAGTGCAGAGCACACTTTGCTTTCATGTCCTTTCCCAGAACAAGCACTAGGGGTCGCTATACATAGCTGTAAAGAGCCAGAGTGGCCTCCACCCCCACCCCTACCCCAATGGAATTTTTCTAGCCTGCTGAAATGAAGTATCTGTGGACTAATATTTAAGCACTCACAGGTTTTATACCTTGGGTTAAGTCTTCTGCTCCCCTGACCCTCAGCCTCCTCATCTGTGGAAATGTGCATAATATCCCTGACTTTGCAGAGTGGTTGGAAAAGGAGTATAAGTGCTTAGCACCATGTCTGGAATGAAAGAGTTTAAAATATCATTCCAGAACCAAGGGTTCCCTTCCCCCTCCCCGCCCATCACTCCTGCCAGGGTGTGGCCACAGACTAATGCAAGATAAAACAAGTTATCAATTACCAAGCTTTCCCAAATAATCCCCCCCGCCAGCCCCCCCCCCCCAACAAGCAAGCAAGCAAACATTAAACCAGGAGTCTTCCCAGTTCTAAAGGGATCAAGCAAGTGGATCCTCTCAGACACGCCCATTAGCAGGTTTAGGGCACCAGAGCTGTGACTTGTCACTTCAATGAGTAGCTGTCCTGTTTGTTCAGCAAATCCTCACAGCTCAAATTAGGAAGCTCTGGGATACTGAGGAAGGAGATGGTTGAGGGTGAGGCCACTGGGGTCTGAATTTGCTCCAGGCCACGCCCTGATGTTTCACGAAGCTGCCACATACTGCCCTCTGGTGGCACCATCCACATACTGCTGGGGACCAAGAGGAAAGGAGCTCACCCAGATAGATGCAAACTCTTAACTAAATCGGGAATTGGTCAGCTCCTATTTCCCTTATGCCCTTTGCTGAGAGCGCAGATCCACTGCTGGACCTCACTGTCCTCAGTGCCTGAAAACAAATAGTCCTGGCTGTAGCTCAGTGCTGTGCCTGAGTCCTTACTGTGTCACAGACGCCCTAGGACCCCTGGACTCAATCCCGTCCAAAGGGCTTGAGGGTTATCAAGAAAGTATTGAGAGCCAGTAATAGTGGTACCTAACTATAGTCTCCATTGATTGGGGGGTGGGGGAGGATACAAGGATAACCATGTAAGGCCAGCCAGGGGAAAAGAAGGAAGCCCTAGCTGCAAAGCAAACAGACTTGGGTATGGGTAGAGCACTTGCATGATGAAGGAAGGAAGAAGGAGAGGAACGAAGGAAGGAAGGAAGGAAGGAAGGAGGGAGGGAGGGAGGGAGGGAAGGGAAGGGAAGGGAAGGGAAGGGAAGGGGAGGGAAGGGAAGGGAGAAGGGAAACAAAAAAAAAAACTATTCAAGGGCTGGATATGGTAGCACAGGCCTGTAATCCCAGCACTTGAAAGACTGAGGCATGAGGAACACAAGTTTGAGATCAGCCTTGGCTATGTAGTAAGTTCAAGGCTAGCCTAGACTACATAGCAAGATTCTGTCCTAAATTTTTTTTTAAAAAATCAGAAAGTAGTAGAGGAAAGAAGGATTTTTCTCCTCTCCAAGAACTATTAGTGGAGGTCTACAATACAAATAGCTGCCTCCCAGCTCCCAGGGAATTTTCCAGGATGGTAACAACCAGAGAAGGCTACCTGGAGGAGGACTAGGAGACATAAGCCATTAAAAGCAGAGCCCCTTCATTCAAGTCCCTTTCTGAAACCTCTAAGCTGAGTATATCTATCCTTGATGAGGAGAAAATAGAGCCAGGCAGAGCTTCTAAACTGGACCCTGCATGGATGAGGCTGGAGTGGAAAGGTCACTTTCGCTAGTTGGCTGAGTAGAGGACAGAGCACTCAGTACTCAGCAGCTGAGGTTCAAGACACTGAATTGCGGGCTGGGCCAGGCCCTCGCTGGGGAGCAGTGTGGCAGCTGAGCCAGGGGGAAGGGAGGAGTCTGCCTGAGATACTAGGACCAGCCTCCAGTCTCCATATACCCTCCCACTTACAGTTCTTTCTCCAGCAAATGTCATCTCTAATTCTCTACCTAGGTGCCCACCCCACCCCCAAATCAGGACAAAGCTGATTATCAATAAATCCCAGAGCAAGGCAAAACTATGATGGCATAAAGTACTTTGTGCCATTAGCTAAAAGCTTCTCTGCACCAAGCTCCCCTCCCCTGCAACCCAGAAACCAAACAGCCCTGGCTGCCACCCAGTGCTGCGGCCTGAGCTCCCCGACCCTGACTCCTCCGACAAGTTCAGTTCTCTCCAAGCCTCTGGAACTCAAATGACTTAAGTAGTGTCCTCTTTGGAGGGTCCTCCTTGACTGGAGGCCAGGAGAGGTCAGGGCCCTCCACAGCTTCCTTAGAAGCTTCTGAGATCCCCTCTTGGACCCCCTCTTGGACCTCCCTCCCCCAGCTAAGAAGGGTTCAAGAAAGCCCAGCTGTCAGCTCATAGAGCAAAAACAAGTTTGCTACCTGGTCTAGTCACTAGTGGCTCAGATCTATAATCCTAGCTACTCAGGAGGCTGAGATCTGAAGATCTCAAGCCAGCCCAGACAGAAATATCAGCGAAACTCATATGTCCAATTAAATAGCAAAAAAGCCAGAAAGCCAGAAGTGGAACTCTGGCTCAAGTGGTACAGTGCCAGCCTTGAGCAAAAAAGGCAAAGAAGAGTGCAAGGCCCTGAATTCAAGCTAGTAAAAGGAAGGCTGATGGGAGGGGTTCAAATAAAGACCCCAGATGTCACAACAAAGTACCTGACCTTCAGGAGTCACAGGATTGCACCAGCTTCCCGTGACTCCTCCTTCACTCGCTCTCAAGCCCTGACAAAAGGAAGAATGGCAATAGTCAGAGAGGGCGATGACAGGAAACTGGCCCAGAGGGGGGACAGAGTTGTTCTATATCACACAGCAGACAGAGCCAGGGTCAGCCTCCCTAGCCTCACCGGGCCTAGGATACAATGGGAAGGGCACACACAGGTCTGGCACCTGGTTCTCTTCCTCACTGGCATGTGACCTTGAGAAATCCCCTCCCCGTTCTGTAAAATTAGGACTTTCAATTAGTTCCTGAGCAAAACCAGCACCTGTTCCTAGGTGTGATTTAAAGGAGTGAAACTATGGTAACATGACTTACAGTGGAAGAAGCGAGCTCTCTGCCTGTGAGCCGCCCCACAGCCCTTCTGGGAGGTGATGATGACACCACTTCACCGATGGACAGCCAAGCAGCAAGCCTGGGGCCAGGCGGCTCACAGCTGAGGGGGAGCAGAGGAACGGGGGTCTGAAGGAAGGGCATCCAGACAGGAAGCAAAGAGCAGAAGCCAAGGCCCTTTAAGGCCCCCTTTCCGCAAATGGCTGCCATACCTGCCCCCTTGAGGATATTAAAGGAACCACATGTCTCCGCCTCTGACAGAATCATCTTAGAAACGGAGATGAGGCCCCTTGGTGAGTGGGTGCCCAGCACCCATCCTGGTTAGCACAGGCTGTGGTCTCAGGTTGGCTGCATGAAGCGTGAGTAAAGCTGTGTCCCCTGGGAGACAATGGCTCGTCACTGTAATCTTAGCTACTGAGGATCCCATTTCCAAACCAGTTAGGGCAAAGAAGTCCCTGAAACTCTTATCTCCCTCCAGTTAACTACCCAAAAAGCAGGAAGTGGTGCTGTGACTCAAGTGACAGAGTGTTAACTCTGAGCAAAAAAAAAAAAAAAAGCTCAGGGTCAGAACCCAGGTGCCGAGTTGAAGCCCCAGGACCAGCACCGCCCCTCCCCCTCCAAAAAAAATAAGTCTACCCTAGAATCAAGAGGGCTCAGTATAAGTCTCATGGGGACAAATCCTCAACCTCTGTAGCAATCTGCCAATATGGGAAAGAGAGGTCAGAAAGAATTCAGCCCTACAGGCCTGGGTTGGCCCTCATGCTGTCCAAGGACCTCATTATTTCTGTCCTCCCCCAAGGTATGGAGAGGGGTGGTGCCAGAAAGCAGCAGCCTCAAGGGCAAGCAAGACTTCTTCCATCTCAGGGGACCCAGGAAAGGAAACGCAAGAGCTGGTGAAAGTTTGTTATCAAATCCTTCCCGGAGCTCGGCGCCCTCCATTTGTCCAACTCTACCTCTAACGAAGCCTGGGTGCCATCAACTAACCCTTGGGTTGGGAGAGGAAGCTGCAGAAGATGGACTGCCTTCTTCGGGGACTCAGACGCCCCAGGGAAGGGAAATCTGGGATCTTGCACAGGCCCCTTCCCCGTCCACCCCTGAAAGCAGCCGTTTACTAACCCCGCACCTCAGTTTCCTTTATTGGGCCGCTGGCTCCCCCCGACTGTCTCTTCCTGCCAACCGACAGACTGTGCATCCTCGGAGATGACGCCATCCATCCAGCCTGCCAGCCCGCCAGCATTGGGAATCCATCGGTCAGCAGCTCGGCGATGGCCAGCCAGGGCGCGGTGGCCGGGAGTCCCCGCGCCGGGGTCAGCGCTGGGGGGAGGCGGGACCGCGCGGAGGGCTGCGGCGGAAGGGCGAGTCGGGCTCCGGGCCGTGGCCCCGCCGCAGCCGCCCGGCGCCCCAGGGCACGCAGCCGCCCAGGCCCAGCGCCGAGGCCAGCAGCGCGGGCGGGCGGGCCCGGCGGCCCCGACGCGCGCCCTTCTTGAGGCGCGACCCGTGCGCCGCCAGGTAGAGCTCGGCCTGCGCCACGCCGCCGCCCAGGCGGCTCAGGCTCTCGGCGCGGTGCGCCAGGCGCAGCTCGGCCGCCAGGAAGACCCGGTGCAGCTGCAGCACGCGGCTCTCCAGCTCCGACACCAGGCGCCGGCGGCCCTCCACCTCCAGCAGCCGCCGCCGCGCCTCGGCCAGCTCCAGCGCGCGGCCGCCCGCGCCCGCCGCCCCGCCGCCCCCCGCGCCCCCGCTAGCGCCCGCACGCCAGCGCTGCAGCTCCTGACCCTCGGCCGCGCCCAGCGAGGCCCGGGCGGCCTCCTGCGGCCGCGGGGTCTCCGCGGGGGTCGGGGTCAAGGTCGGAGTTGGGGCCGGGGGCTGAGGGGACGCCAGGGGCTCCCGGGGCGGCGCCGGGGGGGACCCCGGTTCTGCCGTCCCGTCCTGGGCCCCTGGGCCGCAGGCGCTGATGCGGCAGCCTGGCATCCCCCGCCCCCCCTCCCCCGGCGGCCTGGGTCTGTCTGTCCGCGGGGAGGACGGAAGCCGGGCACGAGAGGAGACCCAGACGGCCGCAGTGCCCACGCCAGCGCCGCACCGGCCGCCGGCGTCTTATAGAGCACGGGGCGGAGCGATGGGCAACTCAGCCAATCAGAGGTCGGAATGCGCTGAACTTGCTCCGCCTCCGGCCCGTGTGCGCCGCAAATCCCGCAGGTCCCTTGACCTTCGCCCCCCACCCCCAGCACCCCATCCGTGTCTTCCCATACTTAGGCTGGAAATGGGGCGAGCTTCACTTACTCCCTCAGTCATCAGCTTTGGCAGCTGTGCTTAGAAGTCATAAAACCCACTCTCCCCCCACCCCCTCCAGGGAAGGTTTTACCTGAGACCTCCTTAGGTCAGTGAGAGTCTGAGAACTCAGGTCAGAAGTCCTTGGGCAGTGAATGAGCCTTCCTATACTTCATGCTGTCCCTTAGCCAATCAGATCTGCCTGTTTTTCTGGACCATAGGGCTTGCCAGGGCCCCTCAGCCTCCCTGGGGCTATGGAGGGGTAAAGAAAGAGAAGCTAATGGCTTTGGGTGGGGAGGATTGGGCATCATCTATCTGGCTAGATTGGTTGCACCCCAGGCAGGGCCTCCGTTTGCAAAACAAACCCCACAGAGTTGCCACTGAGCCTGCAAACCTTGATGGTGTCCCCCCCCCAGGAGCTCTGGACTCCAAAGTGTGCAAAGATACTTTCCTGCCTCTCCCCCTTACCTCTGTGTGCACCTCCCAATGTGTCCTCAAACACTTTTACTTGGTGGAAAAAACAAACTCCAGATGCAGGGTGCCTTACCCAAAGTGGCTGAATCTGGACAGAAACAAAACAAAACAAAACGGTGCTCTGCAGCAGTGAGCAAGGCCAAGAATCAGAACGGATTATTCATGCCCTTTGGGGACACATAAATAACCAGATCCCCTTCCCTCGTGGAAGGACTGTCCATATCTGGGATTTCAGTCATCCTGGCAAAATGAAAACATTGAGTCCTGCCTATCTCCTTGAAGGTGCTGGTAGAAATAATGCTCCTGGTGGAAGCAAGCAAGGTCTGGAGGCTCTAAAAGCCTTTGGGAAGGACTGAAGCAAACTCTGGGCTGAAAAAGGTGTGGGAACCAGTGCCCAGCCTGAAGGGAAGGCTACTGAGGAAGTCCAGCTGCCTAGAGAATAACATCATTCCCCCCATGTGGTGGGGAGAGGGAAGGGGCTGGTCTTGGGCTTGAACTAGGCACTGTCCTTATACTTTTTTGTTTGTTTTTGGTTTTTTGTCCTTATACTTTTTTACCCAAGGCTTGCACTCTACCTCTTGAGCCACAGCTCCACTCCCTCCTTTTTGTGGTTAATTAGAGATAAAATTCTCGCCAGGCGCTGATGTCTCTCACCTGTAATCCTAGCTACTCAGGAGGCTGAGATCTGAGGCTCACAGTTCAAAGCCAGCCTGGAGAGGAAAGCCTGTGGTTAAAAAAAAAAAAAAATTCAGACTTTCCTGCTAGGGCTGGCTTTGAACAGTGATTCAGATCTCAGCCTCATGAATGGCTTAGATTACAGGCATGAGCCACCAGAGCCTGGCACCTCCTTTGTGTCCGTTAAGTGCTGACAGTTGCTTTGCACTGAGTGCTGGTGATTCATGGGCAAGATTGCACGTGTCCAGAGAGGCAGCTCAGCAGGGCCTCCACAGGAGAGAGAGAGTGTGAGGGGGCTTCGGGCTCACTGAGCAGGAAGGGAGAGGGCTCAGAGGGAGCAGGTGTTCTGCGACTGTAACAATGGAGGGGAAAGAGGAGATTAGAGAGAGAGCTCAATGAGAAGAGCTGGTCAGCTATAGTGCCAGGCATTTAGTGGGCACAGAGGTGTGGAAGGAAGTCTGCAATGGGGGGTAGGGAGGCTCAGGGCATGGGGGTTCAGAGAGGATGAGGGAGGCTCAGGAATTACCAGATTTATCCCCAGCTAGGAGGAGCTCTCTGCAAATAGCGTCATCCCTTTGAATAGTCTCTTTTGTATCAACAGGCCTGGGTCCTAGTGGGAGCCCCCACCCCTACCCATCCCTATCAAAATGGCAAGATGGGTAGGTATTTTGCTTGCCTCTGACAGATCACTGTTCCCAAACCCTAGAGTCAAGAACAGGATCAGGACTTAACTCCACCCCCACCATCAGTTAGATCTAAAGACTTAGTCAAATGTGAATTTAACACACACACACACACACACACACACACACCCCGAGTCCTTCCAGGATCTGGGGTACTAATTTTTCTGAGTGGGAGGAGATGTTCAGTAAATATTTACTTAGAGCTGGAAGTTAGTAGTAAAACATGTGCCAGGCCCTTGTTAAATCCCCAGTACCACCTAGAATTAATAAACAAATAATTTAACATTTACTGACTAAATCAATATTCTTTTCCTCTTCCCATCATCCCTTAGAGTTGAGGATCTGCAGGCTATCTCTTCCTAATGAGAAACCAAAGTCCCTCAGTGGCACCTCTTACCTCTCTATCATTATCCAATGATATTCCCTTCTCCCATCCTCTTGGCATTTCCCATAAGTCATAGCTAGATGTATTCTTTCATTGTTTAGTTATTAGTAATACCTCCCACCAGACTGGATTTTCTTACCATTAAAATCCCCTGAGGCTGAACAGAGTGCCTGGCTTCCTAATGCATTCAATAGACAATTTTTTTTTCCCCATTACTAAGGATGCAACCTAGGGCCTTGTGAATGCTAGGAAAAGCACTCTACCGCCGAGCCACACCCTCAATCTCGTAAACATTTCTATGAATTGAAAAACAATGCTTAAGACAGAGCTTGTAGAGAATGGAGAAGTAAGTCCCTTTCTCCACGTATTGATTTATTCACGCTATAAAAGCAGCTCAGGGGCAGTGCCCAGGCCCTGAGTTTCAGCTCCAGGACTGGCAAAAAAAAACAACTGAGAGTGAGATATTTTAGTAACTCTGAGCCTGCAGCCTGGAAAGATGTTGAGATAGGTTAGGTGTCACCAGTTTTTTAGACAGCCACTCCTCGAATGATTAACATGGCTGCATGCAGAATTAAACAAAAGCCCGACTCAGAGCTTTAAGACAAAGGAGACAGCTGCAAAACCAAGAGAAGGATGCCAGGGTTTCCTTCTACTTTTAGTTTAATCTTGGGCCCAATTACCTGCTGCTGATAGTGGGACTTGAACTCAGGGCCAGAGTGGTTCGTTTAGCTTTTTTTGTTGTTGTTGTTTTTCAAGGCAGGCATTCCAGCACTTGAGCCACAGCTCCACTTTCAGCTTTTTGCTAATTCATCGGAGATAAGGGTGTCATGGGCTTTCCTGCTCAGGCTGGTTTTGAACCATGGTTCTCCAATCTCAACCTCCTGAGTAGCTATGATTACAGATGTGAGCCACCAGTGTTTGGAGAATACATTTTTTAAACTATCATGATTATTGCATTTTCCTTATTTTTCATAAAAGTTAAATATTCCTTTTAGAGAAAATAAGGAAAAGACTAAAATGCAAAATAAGAATACAGAGAAGAGCCATGCATACTGGTAGCTCACACCTGTAATCCTAGCTACTCAGGAGACTGAGATCAGAGGATCATGGTTCAAACCCAGCCCAGGCAGAAAAGTCGAGACTTTTATTTCCAATTAACCAGCAAAAAAAAAAACCTGAAAGTAGAAGTATGGTTCAAATGGTAGAGCCCCAGCCTTGAGCAAAAAAGTCGAGTGATAATGCAAAGCCCTGAGTTCAAGCCCCAGTGCTGGCACACACACACACACACACACACACACACACACACTGTAGTCTGTATTAAAGGCCCTAGAAGTAAAGAGATCACCCAGGCTGAATTGCAGAGTTATGGTCAGTATGCAGCAGCCCTCCTCCCAGCAGAGACAGAGCCAGACAGCAGAGACAGTGGCTGAGGAGGGATGAGGGGGAAACTGGATTCCCTCCATCATCTGAGTGTGGTGAGACTGGGATGTGGGAGAATCAAGACCCTAAGAGTTCACTTCCAACCCAGTCTAGAAGATTCTGGACCTTATCTAAGAGTTCCACCCCCTCCCCTCCAGTCTTCCTGGCAACCTGGCCCAGCACCCTCTAGGATGCGATCACAGTTTAATAATTTAGCAGATGCAGGCAAAGATAGCAGCTCTGAAAATAACCCAGCCAGGCCCCAGCCTCCGGCTCCCCTTTCCCACAGATGCCCCTTCCCACCCCTGCACGTGTGTCAGTGTGCCCCTGCCTACCAGTGCACACCTGACCTTCCTCCCCCTCCCTCGAGCTCCCTCCCCCTCACCTCCTCTCTCCATTCGCATATTAAAAAGCTTTTAAATCAATGGAAGGCTATATAGGAATCTTGTCCTAGATGCCCATAGTAGCTGGGTTGAATTCGTATGGGCTCCAGCAAGTCCCTTCTCTCTGAGCCTCTGTTGCTGCATTTGTAATATGAAGCCTGGAGGTTCTTGAATATTGGGGGCAGAGGATTACGTTGACAGGAGACTGGATGGCTTCCCCATAAGGCACAAGTGCAGTGCCAGTGCCATCGAGCCAACAGCCTACCCAGCCCGTGGCACCATCCAGAGGGCCCAGGCTTTTGTCTGTAATCCCTCCCATGATGAAAACGTTGCCCCAGATATTATTCCTGGAATCAAAGGCTGGTACTTGCGATTCGTGTTCACAGTGGATGTAGCAGGCACCGTGTGCTTTTTGAGACTTCATCAGATTTCTGACAAGGAGCAATTACACGCCTCCTCTCTTGAAGAAGCATTTTTCAAGTTACCCTCACCTTTCGGGTCTCAAGGGTTTTTGTTGGTTTTGAGTGCTGGGGATCAAACCCAGAGCCTTCTGCATGCCAGGCAGGTGATTTACTACTGAACTGCATTCCTGTTCCAAGATCTTGGGGGGGTGAGGGGGTTTGCTGGGGATTAAACCCAAACCAAGAGCCTAGTGCATGTGAGGCATATACTCTAGGATAGCAGCTACACCTCCTGCCAGGGTCTGTTTTTCACATCTCTAATATAGCCAGGTTAGGAGGAATGGGCCAAGATCATGTCTGT